AAATGAGGAGAGGCATAGGATGAGACATTATAATTTTTAGGATTCCGTACCCAAAGGGTAAAACTGGACCGAAACTGACTCCGCTGTCTGTCTGTCTGTCACCAGGCTGTATCTCATGAACCGCGATACTTTTTTTAGTTAGACAGACAGTTGAAATTTTCACAGATGATGTGTTTCTGTTGCCGCTATAACAACAAATACTAAAAAACAGCTAAAAGAATTTAAATGGGGCTCCCGTATAACAGACATATTTTTTTGCCGTTTTTATAGATAATGGTACAGAACCCTTAGTGTACGAGTCCGACTTGCACCCTGGCCGTTTTTTTTTTATTTCGTACATCGTATTCGTAAATCAAAAAAACAAGGTTACCAACGGTCACATTTGGTACGTTAAATATCGTTGTATTATAGATGACAAGAGCAGCATGTGTCAATCACGATAATTTAAAGATAATTCAGAACTTGTTTAATTTTACCGACGTTCTAAATTAAACACCTGGGATTACTCGTTACACAGATTATAATTTGATTGCAGTAAGTGAACGTTTTAGCCCGACGGGAATGGAACTAACAACAAATTGCTTTATTATCTGTATCGGCCATCTTGTTATGACGATACACTCGATATGAACAAAGCTTTAGTTATTGCTCTATTATTTAACTTTTAAAAATAAAAACCAAATAACTATCCAGCGAGGCTGAAATAAAACGAAAGTTCCAACAAAAAAGAAACCAAAGACGTTATATAATTAGCTTTCCTGTAATACTATGAATCCAATTTGGCCAATGGAGATAAACTTTCTGTGGATTACATTATTCTATGCATTGACGCGAATACTACACATTGAAAAATAAAACTATTCTACATATTTTATCGGTTTAAGTGATTTTTTTTTATTGGATCTACGTAAAACCCCTAAAATAGAAAATTTTGCAAAGTTTTTAAAACATTAAAGCAATAACAAAAAGGACTTTTACATGACATGTGAATTTTTGCACATTTTTGCACAAAACACGGATTGGAAGCCGCGAGCGAGGTTTTTGTACATTTATTTACAAAAGTAATGACATTTAAGGTTTGATCTAGAGTCTAGAAACTAGCTAAAAATAAAATAATATTAAAAGTATTAAAAGTACCTTTACATTTATATATTCAAATTCATTGAAGAGTCATTTTATCTAATTATTGCCATTACGAATTCAAACGCGGTCGTCTATCTTTGGGGGGTGAACAAAGTAGTGGTTGTCCAACGACGGCTGTTACCGATGAAAGTGAGCTGGCAGTGCAAAATTTAATGAAAGAAAACAGGTGAATTACATACAAATAGATTCAGCATATATTGCAGATTGGTTCGAAAAGCTTTCACAAAATTATACGTCAGCACATCCGCGTGAGGAGGACAATTTCACCCTGGATGCCGCACAAGTGCACCAGGCAAGTGTGGAATGATTAGTATATTTGAAACAGGCTCGACTCGGTGCCTTAACGACATTGTTTTTGTTTTTTTTTTTTCATTTACAAGCATTGCCCTCACTTTAGGATAACATTATCCTGTGTTGTAAGGACGTTTTTGCAAACATAAATTTCACGCGGACACCCAGATGCGAAACAACTATCTGTGGGCCACACAAACAGTTGTCCCGTGTGGGAATCGAACCAACGACCCGCAACGCCGAAGCCGATACCTTGGCGAAGAGTCATTGTAACAGGTGCATCCTGAATTTATCGATACGACCCAAAAAGAAAGCGTCAGTCGCTTTGACTGTTTCAAAACGAACCAGCGCCTACAAAAGTGAAGCGATAGAAAAGCGCGGGGAAAATTTCGATCGCCAGTTTCTTCACTTCAACTGGGTTTCTGGTATCGATTCCATTACGAAATCAAAGCGGCATCAACGCCGAATGATATACTACAAAATGCTTAACAGGAGTTTTCACTGCAATGGGCAACCATCAACCGAACACCAGTCTCTGCCGGGTATTGCTTCAACACGACAACTCACGCGCACTCAGCACTCAAAACCAGAAGCACCGCACCTGTCATAGCCTTGGTTCACCCTACTTACAGTCCTGATCTGGCTCCATGAGACTTCTTTTTATTCTCTAAAATGGAAAAACAACTGAAAGGGATATAGTTATCATCGCCGGAAGAGCCGCTAACAGCGTTTGAGAAGGCCGCAGAGAGTCTTTGCGGCGGACTAGAAAAGGTGCTTTGAAAATTTATTTGGACCCCTGCAACTTTGTGTAGAGGCTGGTGGAGAGTTCTTTGAGAATATTTAATGAAAATATTTTATCCATATTAGTTAGTTTTTTAGTTTCTCAAAAACTTTCCGAGTGTCCCGCGTATTCCCCTAGACGGTGGTTTCTTTAAACTATGACAAAAAGTATTACATAAGCCTTCTCGAGATTCCTAGGAGTAATTCACGCCATTACTGTTTCGCAGACTTGCCACAGTCGGTGCTGGGAAGATCTGACAATGGGGCCCAATTGGCTTCTTATCTCACACGAACGAGTGGTAAATCGTATTGTGCGTGTTACGTAGTTTCATTTCCGATCACCGAGCTTTTGGTCAGAACCAAAAAGTGATATGAAAAGTTTCGCACTTAAAACTGAAGTTAATTTAACATGAAATCGTTCTTCACAGCTACGGGCTTAGTAGATATATGACTTATAACCAGAGATTTGAGTTTTTTTTTTCTTTTTTAAAACATTGCCCTTACTTTAGGATATCAATATCCTGTGTTGTAAGGACGTTTTACAAACATTAATTTCACGCGGACAAACACCCTTTTCTAAAATGGCAAATGGAAAAAACGAAATACCCATTTTATATCTATTTTACTACACTAAAAAAAAATTATTAAAAAAATCGTATTTCCATTAAATACATTTTTTGAAATACATACTCTATTATGGATTAACAAAATACATAATACTTTTTGACAAGTTTCTTTGACACCTAAAGTGTCAGAATTTTATTTAGAAATTTCTGGGAATCTTCGGACAATTCCGTATCCAGCACGATGGAATATATATTATAATGGATCTTTTGAAAGTTCAAGAACTTTAAATGAAACCTTAAAAATAGGGTCGCCGGTTTTCAAGGGAATTAAATTGCAATTTCTAATTGAATATACCAACAATACAAAACCATAGCAGAAGGTATCAGACGCTTAGAGACAGATAAAGAAACATGTTACGGATGCCTGCTATCAGCGTTAAAGAGAACACAAAAAATTTTGCACACGTTAGAAATGATGCCAAATCCCCTATTTTGTTAAGTAATGATAGAGATAATGAAATATGCTGACAAATAAAGTTTAGAAAATGTCGTGATTTAAGGATCCTAAAGTTGACAAAGCAATTTTGGCATCGGCGCCATGTCTTCTTTTTTTAAATTAAAATGCGTGTCGAAAACAGTTTAATTTATTTTTTTTAATTCAAAAATGGCACTTGACTGCCATCCCACCTGATGGTAAGTGGCGATGCAGCCGTTGATGGTAAGCGCGCTAGCTCAGTAAAAACCTATTCACCTTGTCTTGAAGACGCCTACGTTGTAATCGGACGGAAAGACGGACGCCGGCAGGCTGTTCCATTCCTTAGCAGTATAACATATAGCTTATATGTCTAACATTCGCGTAAAACAAGAAATCAATATAGCTTCCTCTTTTTTTATTGTAGTACATCTACGCAGCAACTTCTGCCGTTGTACGATTACATGGCTCAGGGCTACTAGCACGACCTTATTTTCGTGTATCGTCCGGTGAGTGAGGTAACCTGGCCCTTGGCCAGTGTTTTGAATTTTGGAAAATAATCGCAGAACCACAGACGAAGATGTGTGGGTAATATCAGGTAAATCGCCTGCTCGCTTATTACGACTTTCTCGCTATAAAAAGTTAAGTAAGATGAAAAAATGTAAGTACTTTGAAAAGTCCTTGTGTCTGCAGAAATCTTAGCCCAAGGACCAATTTTAAAGTAAAAAAAACAATTATAATTTATTTAACATCTATACAAATATAGTATGCATCGTCGTCGTTATCAGGTGAAATAACCCTCACGCAACACCATCTTGATCAAAAAACATTAGAAAATAATAATTATGCGAATAGTTTTTCCGCTTTTCGTCTTGAAATCAAAAATTTAACTTTTCATAATTGAAAATTGACGAGACCTCGAATTAATATTTTTAAAGCTTCTATTTAATAGATACATTAAGAATTTGTTCTAGAAATATCTCCAGACAGTGTTACGTTATTACGGCTTTATTCTTTACCTTGGATAGTTCGAACAATAAGTGAGTGTCTCAATAGGTAACTAATACAAATTTTCCGCAGCGAAAACTTAAATGTGTTTCTATATAGAAGTTTTTTTACAATACAGTGAAATGTGTACTATACATATTTATGATCACAATCAAAAATTATTTTGATACTATTATGGCGATTTTATATAAGTACATAAATAATGTACAATTGAATGACTTTCATTTATTTGAAAGTCATTCAATGATAAAAATTTAAACAATTTCATAAGAATAATTAGATTCACGCTGTCATGTCAAATTATTTGATTTCATTCGTGTTAATGTTACATATATTTTTTATTAAAAATGCCGTTGCCTTGGTTAATGCTATTGTCTTATAGTAGTTGTAACTAGTTTACTAAGATAAATTTAAAGAAATAATAATATTGTTTTCATTTTATTAAAACACTAACAAGATTTTTTGTAATAAATTGTAAACGAAACAAGCCTTTAAGGTTTAAAATAAAGAAAACTTTATGGATATTAACGTGATTGTACTACACAGATCTTTATAGGTACTGCACCACGAAAATATTTGAAACATTAATTATGAAACTTAGACGTACCGAAGAAAAATATACTTATCAATTTTCAAAACCGAATTTACCTACAATAAACTTATAAGATACAAAAGTTATGGCTTTAAATTAAATTACTTCATCAAATGTAAACAAAACATTAAAATCAAAATGCACTGACCTTCAGCAGCATGTCGTTTACTGTACTTATTTTGCAAAGAAAATCGAAACGTCAAAATTTCCCGCTCTTTGGCACCAGCAATGGCCGCCACACAACGCACGTCTGGCGCGCACTCGGCCGCCACTTGTATTTATAATGTCGCAGTTTTCGTTACAACAGAACGGCGCGCGATATTGTTATGCGGTCTGCGGAGCCCTTGCGCGGTTTTGTAACAGAACCCGAGCTGGTTCGAATATTTTAAATTAGGCTTGGGGGGTGACACATCGATGTGACGGACTATTAGGCCACATTATATACTAAATACTTTCAGCCAACATTCTACAACTAAGTACGGTGGTAGGACCACGCAACAGCCCCGGCTGTTGCACGATTGGGAAGGCTCGTCCGAGTAAGTACCACGACCTCACAGAAGACCGGCGTAAAGTGGAAGTAAAATACTTTCGCGTTTCGTCTGGTGAGTGAGGTGGCCGTAAGCAAATTTTCAAAAGGTTGTCAACGCATGTGGAACCCTCGAGTGTAGCAGATGTCCATGGGCGGCGGTATCTACTTAACTTCGACAACACGGGGGGCGTTTGGAAGTCTGAGTTTACTTTCGTGATTTTTAGTCGTCATAATACCTCTTACGGCATAAGTTATTGTCAACTGCCTTAATCAGATCCCTGTTTAAGTTATTTTCAGATTTTAGTTAGATCCCGTACAAATTAATTAACATAATGCAGGCGAAGGTAGACGCTAGTTACTAGAAACAAAGAGGTCAAGATTGATATGATCGTGTTATTTTACTTACACGTTGTACACACGTAATCCAATGACATAATCCGAGACACTATGCGGTCGCATAGTTCGGTTTCGGGTCAAGCACGTCTAAATGCCTAAGACAACCGACCCTCCTACTATTAAATAATTTTCTGACCGTGTCTTTGGAAGCGCTTTAGGCCATTTTATAAAACTAGTACAAACTAGAATTCGATGAAGGACTACATTTTATATTACGTCCTGAAAACTGATTTTCATGATTCTTTTTCTCATAAATCTGCGACAAAGTTTCGAATAGGTACGCGAGGCACGTATTTAGACGTATTTTAGTTTCTCGGTATTACGTATACCATAAAAATGGCCATATATTTTCATGATAATTAAAAAATAAATGACTCAACACTGATAAATATTGTTATAATAAAACGATAAACTTCTAAACATAAGCAAATATGATGAACAGTATTCGTGGTTGCCAGATCATAAGGCATTATTTGGATATTTTCGAACTTGAAGTCGTTGAAGTCGGGAAATCGTTGTACGATATATAATAGGATAGAAAAAATAAAAGAGAAGAGAAAACGAAAAATAGCTAATTATAAAATTCATCCCGCTTAATCAAAACAAAACGTGTTAAAAAATTAAAAAAAACTTGAGGCCGTACACAATTAATTTTAGAGCAATGCAATGAGCAACATAAAAAAAAACACATTCAAGCAAATTCCACGGCGGTGAGGTCGCGTAGCGTTAGTAATAAATTGCGGAAACCGTACCACGGACGTTACTCTACGGAGAAACGAAATTGCTTAAATAATTATCATAGTCTACCTTATGGCTAAGGACCGTGATAGCTCAGTATCTGGTTGCCCGCTCTTAATTCAACATACTCGAGCAACCTGAGTTCAAATCCCGGTGCCGGCACCAATGAAATAGTTAATTTTAAGTGCCGTATTATCACGTGTTCAGCGGTGAAGGAAACCTGCATATTTTCGAAATAATAACATAAAAAAATATATTTTCGAAGATATGTAAAGTCCGCCAATCCGCAGTGAGGCCGCATGGTGGACTATGCCCTGATAACCTCTGTACAGAGGAGGCCTTTGCCCAGCAGTGGGACATGTATAGGCTGATACTTTACTTTACTCTTTTTTATAAGATTTGAACCCATGGCCCTCAATGTCGAAGCCTTTACCTGTACAACTAGAGAAACCGTGTTGCCATTTTAGGTCGGACATAAGCTTAATCTTCATTGCAAATACCAAAATAATATATCTTCACGAGTTACTAGAGTCATAAGGATATCCGAAAAGCGCATTAGACCAATTAACAGGCTCCTTTAAAACAAATTTGAATCCGCTCCAAAATTTCAAAATGAATAGACGAAAACATATTAAAATTAATATTTTTATATCTGACATTAAAACAAGTAAACGCTATAACAATATTATCGAAAAGATTTATTTTTTAGGGTTCCGTACACAAAGCGTAAAACGGGACTATTACTAAGACTCCGCTATCTGTCTCTCTGTCTGTCTGTCCGTCTGTAATCAGGCTGTATACCATGAACCATGATAGTTAGACGGTTGAAATTTTCACAGATGATGTATTTTTGTTGCCGCTATAACAAAAGGAAATTAAGTGGAGAAAAAGTATTTAAGTGGGGAAAGCCTAACAGACATGATACTTTTGCCATTTTTATAGATAACGGCACGGTACCCTTAGTGTGCGAGTCCGACTCGCATTTGGCCGGTGTTTTTATGGAATATCGTTCAGAAATGTCAAAATTTATAAATTAATTTAATCTTTGTTGAGTCCTTATGGAAATTTCCGCGTTCGGCTATTAATAGCGTTACTTTGACTGTTTTACGTAAAAAAAAAAGTAAAAGTATAGTATCAGCAATAATACATATCCCACGGCTGGGCAAAGGCCTCCTCTATACAGAGGGATTGGCGGACCTCACATATCTTCAAAAAAATTTTTTTTGTTATTATTTCGAAAATATGCAGATTTCCTCACGATGTTTTCCTTCACCGCGGAGCACGTGATAAGTCAGCACTTAAAATTAACAATTTCATTGTTACCGGGGATCGAACTTCGGTTGCTCGAGTATTGTACTTATACTAACAATTAATATTAACATTTATTAATATGTACATACGATTTCAAGACAGGGCAAAAAGGCGATATCCGCCCTTGGGTTCGCCTACCACAGATTGGTCTAGAATTCTAGATGCTCCACGCAAGGCCGTGGACAACCGGTTCTCAAGTACATATTTATAGTTCAGGAGTCAGCAACAATAATTAATTATTGATCGATCTCAATATTACTCTATACTAACTGTAACTGTTGTTGAGTCAATCTTTCTGTTTCGATATAATTATTTTTTAAACTAATTTTACTACTAATTGTGTAAATATGTATGTGTTTAGTCTTTAACGTCATGCTCACGAAATTATTGCGGCTGATCTCTGCGTTGTTTTTCTCAGTTAAAGTAAAACTAAATCTAAAAACACTTATAGTCCTACTTTAATTTAAACCGTAGCGCAGTTGCCAATTTATTGGCTTCGGCGTCGGGGGTTGAGGGTTCGATACGGGTAAACTATTTGTGTGAACCACAGATCATTGTTTCGCATCTGGGTGTTAGTCCACGTGAAATTTATGTATTGTAAAATGTTCTTACAACACAGGATAATGTTATCCTAAAGCAAGGGCAATGTTTTTAAAGACAATTTTAAAGTCGATACTCAATAGTAGCAATAATGAAAACTTAAACAACAATAACTAACTATAAAATTATCAACTTTATAATTTTACATTTATTATGGCTAAAGGTTACAATTTATTTATATTCTTAAACTGTACATTAAACATTAACTATATAATGTAATATATAGTTTTCTATATTATATATATCAAGTATATATTATATAATATAATATATTGTCTATATTATATTATATACCATAATATAGACAATAAGATGTTCCTGCATCTAAGTTCTTACTGCTGCATTATAAAACATAATTTATACATAGAAAAATATTCACATCAGTCTCTATCGTCTAAAAGTTATTTTTGTCATACATAAACCGACCAGATGTTTATGTTAAGTACGAATTTAACTAAGAGAAATAAAAAGTTAAAAACTATTTCTCATTATTTTTCATTTGTTTGTTTTTCATTTTCATGTTTAATGACGACCCGAATGGCGTAGTGTGTAGTGTATTGTCTGCGCCAGAAGGTGTCCCCACTACTGCAAAAATATGGTGCGATGAACATTTTTCTAGTGTCTGGGTGTTTATATATCTATAATATGTATTTATTTACAAAAATTTAACGGTGGTAGGGCCACGCAGCAGCCTCGGCTGTTGTACGAATGTGCAAGCTCGTCCGGGTAAGTAGCCGGAGCCCAATTTTCAAAAGGTTGTCAACGCATCTGCAAACCCTCGGATGTAGCAGATGTCCATGGGCGGTGGTATTCACTTAAGATCAGGTGAACCACCTGCTCGATTGGCAACTTTTCACATAAAAAAATTGGAAAAGTAAAGTATGTTCAAGTATGGTTATCTAGTACCCATAGTACAAGCTTGCTTAGTTTGAGACTAGAGAACTTAAAAAGGGGTCCTAAAATATTTATTTACTTACTCATTTATTATGTTTTTTATTTTTCATGTTTTTCTGTCCCCCAAAATGAGTGAATCTATTTCGATACATTTTGGAGATTTATTACAAAATAAGAAAAACGGAATAATGCTACAGAAGTATGAGGCGTTTATGAACCTAATATTGTTATTTGGACCTAATATATAATGGTTCAAACGTTTTCAGTGCGAGAAATTTGATGTCAAATATGCATCTTATTCTCGTCGCCCTGTTACGTATAAATTCGAAGCCGTTTCTGAAAACGTGGACTAAAATCGGCATATTGAAGTTACCACGTAGCTGAAGAACAAAGCAAGACATCAAGAAAATACGTATGTCAGAGAATTCTATGTATATAATTCTATATATATCGAGATTCCATGCACCAACAATGGTAGATTTTGACTTTCATCAGAGCCAAACAAATTGACATACATATCTTATTGTAAATTTTTATATTAATGGGAGTATTAAATGAATGAAAGTAAATAAAAAAAAGAATAGTTGTATAAATATTAAATTAAAAAATAACTACACATTAAATAATTGATGCTTTTGTGGACGAAATTCTTTTTATTCTTTTCTTTTTTTTAAAACATTGCCCTTACTTAA